CCCCCCCATATCTCAATTTTAAAGCAAGAAAAGATGCACAGGGTTTGTGGGATGTACTCATTCTCACAAGCTGTCTATTCCAACCCCTGAGACGGTGGCTCTTTTGTAAAGGAGTAAAGGTCAAGGGTTAACAACTTTTAAAAATGCAGGTGGAAAAGAGGACTGTTTAATACACTGTAGTAGGTCCATTCAATGTAACACAGCCCAGCCATTCAAAAGCAAATGCAGCTGGGTGTATTCCAAAATAAACAGCTTAGAGCACAGAGATGGTTACATTTTGTCGACTCTGCAGAGGGGCAATTGGGGAACTTGAGAACTGGAGATAGAGGTGGAAGGCTTTCACCGTTTTGTACCATTTGAATTTTTCCCCCCAAACAATATACGTTATGGGTGGGTAACTCCTATGAAAACCAAAAGTTGAAGGAATAGGAGGTTCCTTTCATTTTTAAAGCCTTCGTCTCGGGGGGGGGGGGGGGCAGGAGCCTTTTCCTCAGCTAGGTAGTGGAGACAGAAAACAGACGTGGTCGTGCACACAGCACAACCACACGTAGATGTACGCAGCCTCAAACATGTCCTGAGATCTGAAAGTGTGTGTGGGAGATCGACAGCAAGCCTGGGCGATCCGAGCGGGACCTCCCGCCTCTGCTCCTGCGGCAGATCCGCACCACCTCCCCTCACCCTCCTATTCCTTTGCCCGCCTCTCCCTACCCCCGCTGCAGACCCGAGCACCCAGGCGACTGGACTGGCGTAAATTTCCGCCTACTTGCGCCGCGGCCGGTGGGGGGGCTGCCTCGTGACGTCAGAGCTGAGTGAAGGGGCGCCGCCTCCCATTGCCGGCCCCTCCCGGCCCTGTGCCCCCCCACTCCACGCCTGCCCTTTAAAAGAGCAGAGCCTGAGCCAACCGCGCCACACCGCGGGGACCAGGACGCACGGCTGGTGTCCCGGAGCTGGTTGCCAACTCGCCTTCCTCTGCAGCTCATCTTGCCCGTCCAGCTGTCATCCTCTTCGCGCAGATTCGGGAGAGCGGGGCCATGCCGCAGGCCTTGCTTCTCAGCCTCCTGGGAGCAGCGGTGCTAACCGGTGAGTGGGCGCGCGGGCCGTTCAGCACCGCGGACAGCGCCAGCCCCGGCTTCCCCGCTGCTCCCGCCGGGCGGAAAGGGAGGTTGAATGGACTAGTCTCTCTTGCTCGAGGTTCTTCATTTCTTCTCTTCCCTCAGTGTTTCCTTTAAACTACTTGCCCTCACTCCGTGTTGGCTTGGAGATAGCCAGAAGGGTTTCTAGCCCAGCCGTGAGAGTCTCAGTCTTTTCATATTTGTTTTTCTGCAGATAGAAAATGTGCCACCCTTCCAAGAAACCCCAATTTTGTCTTCACTTCTAGGATGTCATACTCTCTACCTGCCTAGAAAGATGCTCTCGCAGTCTCATTCTGTATCTGTTTGGATTTTTAAACCCAGATGACTAGAGAGAGACAGGAATAGTCTAGTATGACATGAACGTTAAAGATTTGTTTCACACGGTTGTAATATAGCCTGTCTATTAACAATCATGGCACCCGAATAATCCTCCCTGTTACTATTATTATATAAACATGATGAGATAAAGTAAGTTCCATATGTGTACAAGATGTATCTTTTTTCTTAGTGTGTGCATATATGTGCTCAAGTATGTGTGTGTACAGGCTTAATGTTTACATGTTTCGTACTTCCATAGAGAGAAACACTTTCATACTCAATTTCATCCATTTTTAAGTTCTGAATGGAAACTGCAATAGATATTTTGACTTTTGTACTCTGGGAAAAAATAAAACTGGAGCGTAAAACAACACAAAAGTATTTTTGGAGTAGTAAAAAAATGTTTTGGTCATTTTTGGTGTGTAAAATTTTAAGCAAAAGATATTTGATTAGTAGATTTCTCTTTTTGTGGAGAAAATTGTGGGATTAATTTTTCAAACTACTCTGACTCTCAAGGAAACAGTCTTTGAAGAATTGAAAAATGTGTGCTATGTGTGCATGTTTTGAAGTAAAGCTACTATGGGCCATGAAACTATTGAGAAGTTAACTATACTAGCACTAAATTAAACTGGAGCTTTTCTGTGAATGTTTTAATGACCTCATAGAACATTGTTCATCTCTGAAACTGAGATATTGGAATTGAGGTATTGTCATTCATGAATATGAAGCTTTTATTGACAGTGATAATTGAATCCAAAGTATAGAGACAGTGAAAACCAGTGATAATTTATTTTATTGTAAGCTAAATACATTTAGAATTTTTAAAAATTCTCGTTGGTCTTACAAATTGTCAATTAATGTTCTCAATTTTATTAAAGAAAACCAAACGAATACTTTAAAGTCCTTTCTGGTCAAAAATACTTCTAGAAAGGAACTGCTTAAGAAGCTATACATTGTGCTATAGATCACAAAAACAGTGGCATTTGTGGGACTTATTTAACTATGGGGCAAAATACTTACACGTCTCTTGTGTAATAGAATATTTTAATAAAGATTCATACTTTAATAAAGATACATATTTTGATAGTAGCTAAAGTAGAGACATGCTACTCTTTAAATGATTTTTGAATTATAATTTACACATCATAAAATCCACCCAGTGATTTTTACATATTCACAGATTGTGTAACCATCACCACTATCAAATATCAGAATACTCTCATCTCCCCAGAAAGACACCCATACCATCAGCAGTCACCTCCTCATTCCCACCCCCACTCCCAACACTTGACGATGAGATACAATAGCCTTCAAGTAGAGTTTATTATTTGCAAAATCACAGAGCTGGGAAAACCTCAAGAAACAATCTATTTCGTTTCCTACCCTTAAAAGCTTCTGGAAGGAGTTGCACAACTTTCTATGGTAATAACTATGTACTATAAAAATTAATATGAGTGAAGAAGGTATATGATATTTATATTATTCTAGGTAAGATGGTTTCTGCATTCAGATAACCTTGCTTAATTTATTTTACAGCTGTATTTTCAATCTGGGATCCAACCTTAGTAGTCTTTTATGAGATATTCATAGTGTAGAAGTTATTCTCAGATTTGTCATACTGTGTGGTCATTTTTCCACCACGGATTAGTTCACTTTAAACATGAGCATTCGATTTTTTCAGTGCACTCCACATCTTTCTGTGTACAACAATAAGCTACTTTAGGGGAGTCAACGTGCCTTTAGCTATTATATTGCTGTCAGAGATTCTACTGGGAGAAGTATAGATGTCTCATCAAGAGGCATAATGAATTTTCATAGGCAGACACTAGTTCCTTTCCATCAAAAAGAGGTCTTGAGAGCCTCATCCAGTGAAACAAGACTGTTCTGTAATAACAAACACAAGCTACAAATTGTCTAGAGTAATAAAAGAAAAATAGTCTCCCTCCCCAATCTGATAACTGTTAATACTTTGGTAATAACAAGAATTTAAAAAGCATCTATTTTATATTTGTAAAAAAGAGACAGAGAGAGAGAGAAAAAAAAAAGTATTAGTAAGAAATTGTTACCAAAGAATTTTTGAAAAGCTGGTTTTAAAAATGCACTTCTACTTTATTGGGGGGGGGGTAATTCTCTCATGATTATTTCTTTCCAGAGGATTTTACAGATTTCAGGTGGAAAGACAAAATACCAGAGTGGGTATGTTCTCAAATAATTGCTATTTTGTGTGTAAATGAATAGCCCGGCATATCCTAGATCTTGGGTGCCAAGGGTAGGCCATTCAGATCTTGTCTGACCCGAATTTTAGGAAGAATTAGTGTCTTTACAGTTTCTTAGCCACTTCTTAAATATTTTTAAGTGAATCTAATAGGCTGAACAACTTTAGGCCTCTTAAAACAATATAAGGAGATCCTGACCACGCTTTAAAAGGAAAGTTTAGTGAAGTAAGCCAATAGAATATGTGTTCTATTTCTAGATTGAGTTCCCTGGTAGGTAATTGATTGTGGGAGGGGTTTAAAGAGACTTGGAGATAAAAGCATTTGGGAAGGAAGTCAGGTTGCTAATCATAACTAAATTGCATTTGAGTAGGTTCCATGTCTGATGTCTGAGGGGTTTGCTCTAGCAAGTTCTTTTGTCTCGAGACATAGAATAATTTTCTGCACCGAGACATAGAATAATTTTCTGCACCGAGCTGCTCTCACCATAGTAGCGGTGGGACATCCTGAGAGTACTAAAACTACTGTAGAGAGGGACTTATTAATGTGTATACATGCTTTGAGTTTTTCTAATGAACAAAGCTTAGAGAGTAAAGTAAAATAAAAAGATTTTAAAAATCAGAGCAGCTTTGAAAGAGAAAAGAATGGCACTGAAAGGCCAGCCTATAGCCTAGTGGTTAAGGCAGCCAGATCCCCACATGGCTGACCATGTGGTTTGAGTCCGGGACCTATAGATTTGAGAAATACACTGGGCATATATGTGTGTGCTCAAAATCCCAAAAGGAGAAAGAAATGGAAGAGATGAAATTTCAGCATGACCGTTTCCACATGAGAAATGCTTTCTCCACTCCTTCTGTATCTGTCTCTTTCTGGCAACTGCACAAGCCCTCTAGCAAAAATAAAATATAAAATAATATAAGAATGACACTGGAAAATTAAAACCACCTAAGAAAACAAAGATACTTCAAATTCTGTTTCAAAATAAGCAGAGTCTCATGAAATTTGATTTAAATAAATTAAATTTGTTCCTTTTAAAATATTCTCATGAGCTAGTTGTCAAACACAATTTGCATATGATACCATGAACCTGATGATGTACTGAGAGGATCACATACATCCCCATTATTGACATTAGGAGTCCTCACCCCCATACCTTTAGGAATGGGGTCACTCAACAGGAAGTGAGTGGCGGTGAGTAAGTGAAGCTTCATTTGTATTTACAGCCACTCCCCATCACTCACATTAATGCCTGAGCTCCGCCTCCTGTCAGATCATTGGTGGCATTAGATTCTCATAGGAGCCAGAACCTTGTTGTGAACTGCACATGCGAGGTATCTAGGTTGTGCTCTCCTTATGAGAATCTAATGCCTAATGATCTGAGATGGAGCTGAGGAGGTGATGCTAGCCCAGGGGAGCAGCTGCAAATACTGCATCATGGTGAGTTGTATAATCATTTCATTTTATATTACAATGTAATAATAACAGAAATAAAGTGCACAATAAGTATAATGCCCTTGAGTCATCCCCAAATCAAGCTCCCCACCCCTCGGGTTTGTGGAAAAATTGTCTTTCACAAGACCAGTCCCTGGTGCCAAAAAAGTTGGGAACTGATGCTTTACATGGAATAGGTAACATGGGGGAAGGGAAACACATCACGGATGCAGATGCACAAGCAAACTTGTTCAGGCAAAGGCTCTGGGGTAAGCAACAAGGTAATGAATTACGTCACAACCACATCTTTTGTAAAGGAAATAAATTTGGGGGAAGATCTTTTCTTAGAAACAGGGATAGGCAGAAAGAGACACAAGCATTTACTTATTTATAGGCCAAGGATGAGGTTTGAGGAGGGCATCCTGATAGTATTTAAACATAGTTTGTTTAATTTTTTAATTGCAGTATTATATATAGGAAACTGCACAGGTTATTAATATATTGCCTAATGAATTTTTCACGAATAGCACACTTACATAACCAGCACCTACATCAAGAAATGGGATGTCCCAGGGTCAGCTGGTGGTGTGGTGGCTGGGGCACTGGATTCCCACATGGCTCACGATGTTTTTGTGTGTGTGTGTGTGTGTGTGTGTGCGCGCGCGCACACACGCGCATGTGTGCACGTGCAACTGGGGCAGTCGTGGCCACAGTAGTCATCAGTCCCACCTATCTGTACTTTGCTTAACTCTGACTGCTGCTGTCTCTCATGGCTTCCAAAAGTCAACTCAAGCTATTTCCATTCTTTTTTTCCTTCAAAGCTGTCAGTTCTATGCCAGTGGAGAACAGGCACCACAATGAAGAATTGGTAAGTTAAAATACCAATCTAGAATCTAGACTTGTATCTGGATTCTCCCACTCTCTATCATACCAAACCACCATGTACACATATACACACCCCATAATAGTCTTACAAAGAAAGGTTTTCATCTTAGGGAGAATGGGGCATGGCATGCCTTTCCTACACTGAGTCCCCACAGCCTTCCTGGGTGGTTTAGTGCCCTGGAGACAGCTGTGTCATCACAGCGTTTTCCTTCTGTCCCATTCAGAAATGGAGGTTTATGTCCCTTCTCAGGTCCATCTCAACTCCATGCCTTCTTGTGTTGTTCTGTGAAAGGCTTGGGAGGTTCCATTAGTGTCCTATAAATCTCTGTCTCTGCCCTAAGGGTCCTGCATCAGGACAGGTCACAATATGCAAGACTCCCCTGACAGCAGCTCCGAGTTGAGTAATCCATTGTCTCAGTGGTACCAGCTTTTGCCAACGTGGTTTTGGGTTTTTCCTCAGGTGACTCGCTGCATCATCGAGGTCCTCTCAAATGCCCTGTCGAAGGCCAATGCTCCACCCATCACCCCTGAGTGCCGGCAAGTCCTGAAGAAGAGTAAGTGTCTCACGGTGCGGGCACAACTTGGTCCCTGCAGTGATCCTTGTGTCTGTTCCCTATACACCAGTTGCCACTTTACCTACAAATGTGCCAGAGAGGGTGAGGAGAATGCAGTAGGGACAGTGTTGACTGGACTAAGATCTGAGGTGATAATTAGTTATGTAAGTCTTCTAGTCGCTGCTCTCTTACTTAGAAGCTGTGGGACCATAAAGAAGAGCTCTTGCCTTTCTGAACTTATTTTCCTAAAGTAAAAGGAGGGGTTGAACTCAAGGATAGTCTTTGATATGTCTATTAGATTTTGTTAGAGGGTATGTGCCAGAGAGAAACAGAGAGGGAAGGAGAGGAGGATAAAGCATTTCCTGGCCCCGTGAGAAAAGGTCACACCACAATTCCTTCTCCTCCATTCCACCCTCCTTTTGGGATTTTGGGCATGTACGCACATGTGCCTGTCATGTTTCTCAAGCTACTGGGTCTGAGACTTGAACTGCATGGTCAGCCATATGGGATCCACCTGCCTTAATCACCAGGCCTCAGAGCTGGTCAACTCTATTAGTATTAAGTATCTTGGTTCTATTGTTTGGATTTTTAAACAGTCCTTCATTTGGGTGGAGAGAGGTGTTAGGGCTGCTTGTTTGTGGTTCAGATGGCAGGGGGTCAGTATTTTGGATGTGTTGGAAGATGTAAAAATAGAGGGAGATGTAAAAGTTATTTTTTCTCTTTGCTTTCTACTTTTCAGATAGTGAGAAGTTAGAAGCTTAGAAAGGTGACTTGAAAACTTCTGACCACTTTACAAGAGATACTAGTTAAGATTTATTTTTTAAAACAATTATTGGGCAGGGGGCCGGCAGGTGGCATGGTGGCTAAAGGCACTGGACTCCCACGTGGCCAAGCACAATTCAAATCCTGGACCTGGTGGCTTGCTTTTTCACTTTCTCTCTCTCTGTCTTTCTCTGATCAAACTGGAAAATAATAATAAATAAAATAAAATTATACAATTCTTTAAAAAAAAAGAAAAAGAAAAAGAAAAATATTATTGGGACCAGCAGGTGGCATAATGGTTATGTTCCTGGACAACCAAATAGTTGACCATGGTTCCAATCCTGACTCCAACAACTTAAAACTCACGTCAGGTGCGTGATTTCTCACTTTCTCTCTGTCTCTCTGGCAAGCACACCTGTCCAATAGCAAAAATTTCTCTCTAAAAAAAGAATTATTTATTTAAATTTACTTGTTATTATTTTAAAATCTGTTATAAAGGCACATACACTCACCAAAGAGAGAGAGAGAGAGAAAGAAAGAAAGCCATCAGGTCTGGGACTCAAACCATGGTTGCTCATGTGGGAATCTAACACCTTAACCATCACACAACCTGGTGGTCCCAATATTTTTTTTTAAGTTTATTTATTTTTTTCCATGAGCAAGTGAAAGAGAGAGAGAGAGAGCAACCCCAACAGGGTTTTGATGGCATGATCCATCCCCTTGTATTGACCCTGGATCACAGATAAGCACATGTTCTGTGTGTTCAGAGAGGTCACCAGACTTGAACTGGGAATCTTGCCCTGTGGGATTGCCTTGCAGTGTTACATTTGACTGCTGCACCATTGTCTGGCCGCTCATTAAGACATTATAATGCAGAGTTATCAAAATGGAAGGTACCATCAGTGGTGTCAGGAGTTTCAGGTCTGAGAACTGGAGGGGCCTTGGGTAGAAACAGAGCACCCAGCGAGTCAGACTAAAGGTCTTCTGAGTCTATACTGGGATGTTTTCTGTTGGAAACAATCTGAACAGTGACACAAGCAGTATCTGTTGGAAGTTGTTATTATGAGGTCAGTTTCACAAAACTATGCAGTATTTTTTGTAAGATAAACTGATTTAAATCCTTAAACACACTGCTCACTGCAACACCTTCCTCTGCTTTTACATTTTTAGTCAGGCTGAGAACAGTGGAATTTTTTTTTTCTTTTCACCTTCAAAATCTCTCATTGCAAGATAACAATTTCTTGTTGTTGCTGCATATAAGCCCGTATGCATAAAATGGCAAAAATACATATTAGCAATTGACAAAGAGTAAGTGTGGGTGACTCAATCTGCCTTTGGGGGCTTCAGGGTGGTCATGGTAGGGTTAGAGCCCTTAGGGACCCCATCAACAATGGACAGAAGCTTTTCTACCACTTCTAGCCCTCACATCTCTTTTTCAATTTCTCCCCAACATTTTCCCCCAGCTATTAACAGGAAATGAGGGAGAGCAGAGCGGATCTCCCAGAAGGGAGTAAAGGCTGAGTGAATCCATCTCCTGATCGTCTTTCTCTTTTCTTTGTTTACCAGATGGACAGGGAGTGAAGGGTCTGTATATTAGGTGACCAAAGAGCC